GATACAACCTCCCGCGGATTATGCTGTAAGCCACCATGGGCCTGTGGACCAACAACATAGACATTTATATTTCATATCAAGACTTCTAATGTACAACAATACACGCCAGTCAACATGTATACAACCAGAGCAACGCCACGTAACGTACAAATGACTTCAACAACATATCACCCACATGGAATCCTCGATCTTGTTTTACGCAGCCATATACAGACTATGAACAGCGTATTACAACTAGGATATTTACCATCCCCATATTTATATCTCTAAAATCGTAAGACACGAATTACGCATCATCGCTTTACGTCCAATCCCCATACTCAAATGCGTCACTATGTGTACAGCTGAGAGTACGTATGTACTGAGAGTACGCTAGCTGGAGACAGGAGTCGATACTGATGCCCAGCGTGTTTTGATGCTAGGCGGCTGTGCCTGTGCTGTGTCTGCGTCGTGCGTGAGTGAGTTCCGTGCGTGACGCCGTCCGTCGCTGCGACTCATAGTAGTGGCGACCGTGTGAGCTGTGTGCGTCGCCTGCAGACTGGCGCCGGCACGTCGATAGTGCATTGTTGTGCTCGTCCAAGTGCTGTCGTGTGATGTTGTGATGTGCCTGTGTAGATGTGTGCCTTGCCTGCCCCTATACCAAGTTACGAACACACTTACAGAATCAAACCACACAACACGCCCCCTATACAACCATCGCGCTCCGAAATAACAAACAAAACTTACAAAATGATCGTACACGAAGGACACAAGCCCGTCACCGCCTGCGAAGTTTGCCTGTCGTAGTAGCCATGCTCGATAGTTAGAGCTGTCGAGTCTGTTGTCGCCCACCCCGCACGCGACGCTAAGATCGCTCTGCAAGTCAGTGGTGTCGTGCCGATTCCAGATGTGATTGAGCTGGTATGGATATTCCAAAATAAAATAAAACCACATGAGACAATTAAGATTCAAACAAAAACTATATCTGTCATTTCATGAAGTCCCTACGCGGTCTTTAGTTATTATCATACTTTGCATAGCATACAAAACACTGTATAACAACGACATATTGCGCAGACAGAAGGCATACACAGCAAATCATCGGATATAAAACACCTGTCACATAATATCAAGAGTTAAGTAATAAAAAATTATACTGTCACCATATCATTAACTCCTGATAATATATATATGTTGCACTGCACATAAATTAGCTCTATAGAGTGTTTTCTGTCCAAATGACTAGGCAGAATCACTGCACAGTATTTAGACGCTATGCGTCTCTAATGCCTAGCATATCAACCCAAGAGACACGCGATCAAGAGAGATGAGGAATGGCAGGACAAGAGAAGGCGACTATACATCTATGATTGAACCAGCGCCAAGCCCACGAAGCGCTCAACACCAGCAGCGCCCGAGCCCAAGAGCCGGTAAACACCCCGCCTCTCTCTTTTTAGACACCGCCGCCAAAACAGAAGAGCGTACCCACGCACCAGCCCCGCCCCAGCACAGGCCTCCGCATCCGGTTGCCCACCTCTTCGCCTCTCTCTCCGCCCCATCCGCCCCCCGACCCCCCGCGCCACCGCCCGCGCTGCGCCGCGTTGCACACGCCAATCTCCTGCCGACTCTCCCACCACCACGAATCGCTTGTCCCTACACCTCCCCACCCTTGCTCCCAGCCCCCCCCCTTCCCCCGCCCTACGTCGAGCCAGCTCGGTCAGCGGACGCACCCCCCAACTCCACCACACCTGCAAAGCCTACCTTTCAGCCTCAACCAGAACAGGCTGCGCGCACCAGACAAAAACATCCCACCACCCCCTCTCCTCCTGCCCCCCCCCCCCCCCCACCCTCCTCTCTTGCTCGCCCACCCCCCTCCTCTTCCCCTCCTCGCCTCACCCGCCACCCCTCTCTCTAACCGTCCCCACACCCTCCTCTCTCCCGCCGCCCCGCCACCCCCCGCCCCCCTCCCCCCGCCCCCCCCCCCCCCGCACCCCCACCCCCCCCCCCCCCCCCCCGCCCCTCCCGCCCCCCCCGGCCCCTCACCCCCCCCCGCCCCCCCCGCCCCGCGCCCCCCCCCCATTGGAAATGCATAACGAACGAAGAAGAGTATAAGCATCAAACTGTTCATTCTACATTGTCCTTCTGCTCACAGTTCATGCTAATATGCCTCTGCCCGTCAGCTATATACACAACGATGTGAATAATTTTATCGGCGATGAAGTCCAATCGTCGTGTGCAGGCGACCGTTACTGAGTTTATGCGTACCATGGATAAACCGAACGGGGCCGTTATTCGTAAACTTATTGTAATGGTGGCTTGCTAAGCTTTCAAGTGCTTCTTAATAACAGACTAAGCGATGTGATTTACACAATTGTATCTGTAACAATTACAGCATTTCGAATCAGCCGATGCCAGGCGTGGTTTTCTCAATGTTCATCTTCTGCTGCATCGTTGTAAAGTGAGGCTTAATAGTATTAAACCCTTAACCTATGCGACCAAATCAGAGCCACTTTCGCATCAA